AAGGACAATTTCAATGTGATTCAGCTTGCTTTCTTTCATACCTCTCTTTTTCCTGTTGACGCTGGTATTCTTGCCCTTCTAACCAACGCTGATAATCCTTTTCTTTCTGTCGTTGCCATTTATTCAACAAAATTCGAGATGTAACATGCGGCCTTGTCGCCCCATCCTTCAACGTTTCTCCCTGCTCATATCGGCTCTTTTGTTGGTCACGACGCCTTCTAACCTCTCTATATTCATCAGCCGATATTTGCATCTCGGGATCGACTGTTCTAGTTTCTTTTGATCTAACTGATGTTAGGACTTTAGTCTTTCCTTTGAGCAGCCTAGCATCAACCTTGTTCTGATCTCTTGGGAAAGGATTATCATCAACTTTTATCTTTCGAGGTGTATCAAATTTGAGCCTTCCTTGCTGAATAGCCTTCTGTATATGTTGCCGGAAAACTCTGCACTCATTAGTGGAATGAGAAGTGGCGTTGTGAAATTTGTAGAACTTCTTATTCTTCGACTGATCGGGAGGCAACATAACATGATTGTCGGGCAACTTCATCTGTCCCTTCTCGAGCAAGAAATCGAAGAGCTTGTTCGATTTTGTGACATCGAAGTCATTGCTTTCTTCGACTCCTCTTCCCCAAGGATTTGGCACCATTACTGTCTTCTTACCCCAATTCCATTCGATCGCAGCAACCTCTTCTTCTTCGCCGTTCGCATAGTCGTCATCGACTGAATATGGATTATAGGCTTCGGCCATTGTGGTACTCTTCTGGAATCGAGTATCTCTGCGCATATTCTAAAATTGGCTATTGAGCGTTGCCACTCGTTGAGCCAAATGACCTAAATTGTCAAATTCTTGCCCCAACAGCTTCTCTCTCCACGTTGGCAACATTCCTTGAACGACCAATATAGATAGCTGATCATCAGTCAAGGTCAATAAGAAGCACAGATTTCTAGTCTCTCGGAACCTCTGAAGAAACTCAATGTCTGATTCATTAGTTCTCTGTCTTATAGTCATCAAATCAGTAATTTTCTTTTCTCCAGTCCTAGTATAAAAATATGTATGAAACTTCTTCTCCAGGTCAGCCCAATTAGCAATGGAATTGACTAGCAGTGATGAGAACCAAGTGAAGGCTGACCCTGACAGAGACAAGGAGAAGAAACGAAGTCGATGGGCCTTTTCAATGGATGCTTCGCCCAATTGTGTAAGGTACCGACTGACATGTTCTATTGTGCTTGTGCTATCTTGGTCAGTGAACTTAGCAAATTTTGGGAGCCTGTAAATTGTAGGAAGAGCAACCAAATCATATCATTCTGGATATGGGCATTTGTACGAAAAGGTCTACCCTTTTGGCTTCAAACCAAACTGATTCTTCATCATCTAGGTCACTCTAAGCAACAAGTCATCAGCAACAAGTCGTCAGCATTTGAATTTGAATTTCGCTGCAATTGCTGACCCATCTGCGGATTAAAATTTTGGGTACCTTGATACCCCTAATTTAGAATCATGTGAAGGGTGTTGTAATCTGTGTCATAATGATACCCTTATAAAATCTCTATCTGTTAGGTCCTTTGCTGGTTTACTGCTTGAAGTCTCTGATTATAGACATTAGGATCTATATCTCTACGAATCCTTTGAACTGATGGCGCTATCTTTTGAGCCAACGATGGTATTTGGCCTGATGTGCCAAAATTGACCATTTGATTCTGAACTTGCCCCGTCGGTTGTTGCACATACTGTTCTGACAATCCATTATTATACTGTATCTAATTAGTATAGCACCCTGAACTTGCTCAGATGAGCTCTGAACCACCTGGACATCATCATTACCAGCTGGTGCTGCTTCTTGATGGCTAGTACCGGCTTAATTTGTCCCCTGAGTCGATGGATGTGGAATATTGTAATAAGCCGACCCAACCTGATCAACTGGAAACTCATGAAACACCTCTTTCATAGTGTTATGGAATGTGTTCAAGAAAACTTCATTATGATTCGACATGGCATCATGAACAGATTTGTTTACAACCTCTACGAAGAAACATCTGTCTTCAGCTTCATGTGCATCTGTCTGCCCATGCAACATAACTCTCGGTAGTGGATATTTCTGAACAATTGTATTGTCACGTGTCTTGGTGTAGGACAACAAACACTTGTTCTGAAATTTTTCTATAGCTTTACTGATGATATCTTTATCTCTATCAGGTAGGTCTTCATAAGGTACCATAAGGATGTCACTGTTGTTGTAAGCCGCCATGACGATTGTGGGGTCCCACCGAGTGTGTCAAAACGTGTGTCGGCACGAAAATGTGTCGACACACGGCAAGCCGGAAGGATCTACTTAGGATGAGCCTGGAGATCCGCTTGGCTTCAACGCAGGGTTAATCGATCCTACGAATTCCTCCCGATGCGTGCCAGTCAATTTGACCTGCACTTGACAAGGAGAGAAAGTTTATTAGTAATTCAAGGTGGAACATGCCAGTCTTTGCCCAGACAGTTCTAAGTGTGCCGCTTCGGGAGCAGTCAAATGAGAAAATCAACTAAATAGCCGATACGCACAGAAATCGGCTGTTATGGACAGTAAAGCTTATGGATCACGATTGATTTTATGTTGATAAATACAATGCCCGTAGATATAAGTGAAATCATCAGCTAGGTGGATATTACCAGTGTGAATCATTGAGCCGATAAATCTAATCGAGAAAAGATGTAGCATGCAAATAAATCGACTGTCTAATATAAATGGACCTACGAACGCTCTGAATCCAATCTGTTACCATCAACAGTGAGTTTCGACCGGATCGATGGCAGCTATGATGATAATAACAAACTAAAACCTTAGAATCCGTAAAACCATCTATACTTCGATAGGCTTTCCGAAAGACATACGTGAAGGCTCAGGCGAATCGGCTAAAATAGTCGATTCGGGTGAAAAAGAACTACAGCGTGTGAACAATCGACTATTTCACGTGGACAAACCTATGAACTTATCTGACCTAACCTACTAGCTCTAACAGTGGGGTTCGACCAGATCGATGCAGTCGTGATAAAGACAACAAATTAAACCCTTAAAGTACACAGATCTATTCACGCTTAACAGAATCATAGACGCACGTTGTAGGCGTTAAAGCATAGGCGATCGCTATTTAGCCGATACAGGCATAGCAAACAGTTAAGGTCACGCCTAATTGAGAACAAATCTACTAAGTAGCATCTTCCAAATCTACAGTGCCATCAGTGGGGATCGACCGGATCGTTACAGCCATAATAGTGAACTATAGATCAGATTTAACTAGCCAGCAAACCACTCCAAGATCATACATGCCTTAACCGCGTACTATGCACGATCAAGATTGAAATAGAACAGCCGATAAAACATAACCCGTCGCTTGGAGTAAGAAACATCGTGTTGTGTCAAAGCAAACGACGGACTAAAAGGATATGAGGCCGATCTAGACCGATCTCGACCGGGCAAATTGATGTTGCTGCAAACTAATATCAAGAAGAACATCAGCAAGATCGGTAACTTAATGAATCTACCCGAAGGACGCCACCCTTAGATAGAGCCGATAACTTGACCTTGATCTAATTCGAGCAATGGAGGTCGATCGGATCGATGCAGCTGTACTTGAATTAGACAAGAGTCGATAACTAGCTTATACTAGAGTTCGCAGTGGAGGTCGAACTTAATCGATGCAGCCGTACAAACAGAAGTATAAGCCATGACGGTACTTACAGACAAGCCGGAGGTCGACCGGACCGATACAACCCTGCTTGTTGAAGAACTCGCCGGGATCTACTCTACTCCTACTCCTAAGGGTTGGCACGGAGCCAAAAAAAAGTAAATTGTATTTGATTGATTGGATGTCTTTTTACAATAGCTGGGGTCCAATATTTATATCCGGAGCCTAAACATGAATCCTACTCAAGTACGACTCATTACAATCTTTGGCATAAAAGAAAACATTCCTAACTTAAGATAAGTTGGACCCTAATCTTTCCTTTTTTGTAGAGTCCGATATGTATTTCCCGACGCCAACCGTAGCTCATTATCGTTATCTGCTGATGTCATTCAAATAGAGCCGATTCCAGTGTCGCATCTGAATCAGCTGATATGGATCCTCATGCAATCGATTCCTTGATCGATACAATTTTAGAAGGTTCGAGTTCCCGCGTTCTCCTTCCCAAATTTTGGTGTAAACAAAATCCTACCCATATGAGCACCTCTGAAGAACTGAGCCGGCAGATCTCGAGATTCACGAAGTCACCACTAGCGCCTCGCTGTCGACGGGGACGTCGTCTACCACTGAAAGCATAGCGCCATTAAATTCTGAAATAAATCCAGAAAAATATGAGCACCTGTGCCAAGCCGAGGACTTGAATCCGGGTAGGCAGATTTCACCGTAACAAACCTAATCAACTGATCTAGGATCAGTTCGCCACGATTAGTTTATTTGAAACATCATAGGCATGAAGAAAAATTATTTAAATGTAGAATGCATGTGGCATAATTTTTGTTTGAAAATCTAGACTGTTAAATTATGAAATAAATTAATGTGTATGTATTTTTGATAAATCTCATACTTTAACGTGTGTTCTTTTTAAAATTATTGATTTATTGTATATATAAGATAGAATAAATGCATCTGCAGTCTTTACTTACCTTTCGACGCGCCAGAAATGCGCAAAACCAACAAGGGGGATGATGATGATGATCCGTTCGCCACCGGGAACAAAGTACATGATGATACAGTGCATTATTGATACGATCCCTAGTGGGCGATCTCGCGGCCGAGCTTAGCACCGAACCTATTCCACGGGCAGGAAAAGGATGGCCGAGAGGCCGTGGGGGCGCCAACGCCTCAGCACCCTTCGTCCCTCTAGCATCTGCACTCACTGATCCTATACAGACAATGCAGAAAATCAGAAATCCCTGGCACTAGGCCTTTTGATTTACAGGCCGGCCTGCCACGGCAGGCACCCCCTATAAAAACCCGGCCAGCCTGCGTAAATGACACAGCACAGCACAGCAACATCTACCCTTGAAGTTGTAGCAGCAGCTCTCACTTCTCTCTTCAAGCTAGCAGCTCTTCTTGCACTGCAAGAGGGGGAGGCAGGAGAAAAGGAGAGGTGGACTTCTGCAAAGGTAATTCTTCAATGCACGCATGGCATGTGCTTGTAGAACGTGCACCGCTGTTGCAATCTTATCCTATCTTTTGCATTGGTGTGAACGATGCGTCTTGTTGCAAGGTCTGGGTCTCGGTGCATGGTCTTGGTCTGTGTCAGTCAGTGCACACTGTCCCCACCACTCCCCGTGAGAGATAAATCTCTGATCGGGATGGTGCATCCAAGCAAGTTGTTATACCGTAGATAGCCAGCAGTACAACAATATAATACTATTTTCCATATACATCAAGTGCACCAGCTAGCCAACTGTGAAACTGTGCAAGATCCCCTGCCGCGGTCACCCACACAGCCACAACACCTTCCAGGCAACAGCCTAAATTGCCGCCATCGCCCACACACACTCACTTCACCAGCTAGCCAACCACGAGCCAGTGGAGTGGTAGGCTATATAGCCTATAGCTAGCTCAGTGAGTGCTGGAGTCGTCGCCCGCCTCTCAATTCCACGCTGAGCCTTCCTGCGGGCTTCGTTCTACGTCTAATTCCGTGTCTTTCAGCACGTTCTAGCTCGATCGGTGGCTATATAAATTGCAGCGCAAGTCACGTTGCTGAGCACTTCATCTAGAGCACCAACTAGTAGCGGCGGACTGTGTCTCCTGCGATATCCCGCTCTGTGCTCTAGCTGCAGTCTCACTGTTCGGGTGTGTATTTGTAACATGGTGCAGATGGGGGAGAACGGTGTGCCCGCCAACGCCAAGCACTACTACCCGGCGGCCACGGAGGCGACCTCCGTGGAGCTCGGTCTCACGGCGGCCTCTAAGTGCTATGACGACGACGGTCGCCTCAAGCGCACCGGTAAGGAGAGCTAACCGGCCTGGCAACAAGCAGCCAGCTGTACATGCTACGTCTGCCTGTCTGCCGTACGTGCTTCTTCTCCATCAGATAGACACAGAAAGCTGATGCTGTGCTGCTCTGCATGCTCTGTCATGAAGGGACGATGTGGACGGCGAGCGCGCACATCATCACGGCCGTCATAGGGTCCGGGGTGCTGTCGCTGGCGTGGGCCATCGCGCAGCTCGGCTGGGTGGCCGGCCCCGCCGTCATGCTGCTCTTCTCCTTCGTCACCTACTACACGTCGGCGCTGCTCGCCGACTGCTACCGCTCCGGCGACGCGTGCACCGGCAAGCGCAACTACACCTACATGGACGCGGTTAACGCCAATCTAAGTACGTGCGAAAACCCCCCGCGCACGCACGCATGCCATTCTTGGCTGTACTCTGCCGCCGTTGGCCCGTTGGCCGTTGCAGAGCAAGAGCTGATGACTCTCGTTGTTTCTCCTTCCCCGTCGGTTGTTTCGTCGAGCAGGTGGCATCAAGGTGCAGCTCTGCGGCTTCCTGCAGTACGCCAACATCGTCGGAGTCGCCATCGGCTACACCATTGCCGCCTCCATTAGCATGCTGTGAGTAGGGATGAAAACGGTCGGAAAATCTCCGTTTTCTACTTCTACGTTACATTTGAATACGAAAACGAAAACGAAAGCGGTAAAGTCGGACATGAAAACGAACACGAACTTATGGAATATCAAAAATTTCGAAAACGAACTAATTCGAGCGGAATTATGTTAAACACGGTCGGTATACGAAAAATCAATACGGAATATTGACCCGTAGGACTAAGTGCATAACAATTAACAAGTATATAATAATTAACAAGTCCTACAACTTTCTTAAAATGTATCTCCATTCGACACGACGTAATGAAGATATGATTTTTTAAGGCAACAAGCGCTTGTACGCGATTAATATATCGCTGACTTTGTTTAATTTTTTTGAACATCTTCAAGACATCAAATGAAAAACTAAGAACTAGAAAGTTGTAGATCTCGTCGAGAGCTACAATTTTCATATAAAAATCATCTTCATCTGAGATCGTATGAAAAAGATAAAAATTTTCTAAGGTTAGACTTGTAGTGGACTAAATTTGGTTTAAACCGAATTTCGAATTCGGGATATTCCGAATTAAAAGTAGAAAAGTAGAAAACGGTCGAAAAAATTTCTAAACCGTTTTCGTTCTGATTTCTAATTTGATATTCCGAATTTCGAACCGAATTCGAATTTGTCCGAAAATACGAATTCGATCGAATTAAATATAGAAAACGATGCGATTCGATACGGGATATTTCCGTACCGTTTTTATCCTTAGCTGTGAGTAGTAGAAAAAGAAAAGAAATTAAAAGACCACGAGAACCGACCGCACGTTTCGACCGAGCTGAGAAACTGACGTGCGCTGCTGCGTGTACATCCACAGGGCGATCAAGAGGGCCAACTGCTTCCACGTGGAGGGGCACGGGGACCCGTGCAACATCTCCAGCACGCCGTACATGATCATCTTCGGCGTGGCCGAGATCTTCTTCTCGCAGATCCCGGACTTCGACCAGATCTCCTGGCTCTCGATCCTCGCCGCCGTCATGTCCTTCACCTACTCTACCATCGGCCTGGGCCTGGGCATCGTCCAGGTGATGGCCAACAAGGGCGTCCAGGGCAGCCTCACGGGGATCAGCGTCGGCGCGGTCACGCCGCTCGACAAGGTGTGGCGCAGCCTGCAGGCGTTCGGCGACATCGCCTTCGCCTACTCGTACTCGCTCATCCTCATCGAAATCCAGGACACCATCCGGGCGCCGCCGCCGTCCGAGTCCAAGGTCATGCGCCGCGCCACCATCGTCAGCGTCGCCGTCACCACGCTCTTCTACATGCTGTGCGGGTGCATGGGCTACGCCGCGTTCGGCGACAACGCGCCCGGGAACCTCCTCACGGGCTTCGGCTTCTACGAGCCCTTCTGGCTCCTCGACGTCGCCAACGCCGCCATCGTCGTCCACCTCGTCGGCGCCTACCAGGTCTACTGCCAGCCGTTGTTCGCCTTCGTCGAGAAGTGGGCGCAGCAGCGGTGGCCCAAGTCCCGCTACGTCACGGGTGAGGTCGACGTCCCGCTCTCCCTCGCTGGAGCCGCCGGCCGGTGCTACAAGCTCAACCTGTTCAGGCTGACGTGGCGGACGGCGTTCGTGGTGGGCACGACGGTGGTGTCCATGCTGCTGCCCTTCTTCAACGACGTGGTCGGGCTCCTGGGCGCGCTCGGCTTCTGGCCGCTCACCGTCTACTTCCCCGTGGAGATGTACATCGTGCAGAAGAAGGTGCCCAGGTGGAGCACGCGGTGGGTGTGCCTGCAGCTGCTCAGCCTCGCCTGCCTCATCATCACCGTCGCCTCCGCCGCGGGCTCCGTCGCCGGAATCATCTCTGACCTCAAAGTGTACAAACCGTTCGTCACCACCTACTGATGACTGATCGATCGTCGTTCGGTGCACACAAAACCTATGCACAGATGATTAATTGGCGCCTAGTATGTGCAGTCTTTAATTAAACTAGGCATTAATTAATTACTATCACACGGTAAGAAAAGGAAAAGAAAAAGGTGATTATTGGTACGGTATTCTAGTGATGCATAGCTGCATCGCTGATTTACCGTGTCCTTGCTAATTTCTATTGTTTGTGATGATCTGGTTAACTGAAAAGGTTAGTGAATCAAGACAAAAATCAAAATGTAGCAGTGTGTGTTGCCAAGTCAAATGCAAAGATCGTTACAAAACTCATGTAAAATGTCTGTGTTCCAATCAAGAATTGGTGTTCATAAGGGGGAAAAACATGCTTGTTCCTACGAGACTCTACAACAATTTTCTTACATGCCATGGTTACAGAATTTGAGGCTTTGACCTATTTCTTAGGTGGTATATTTGAGAGCAAAATTTCAGCATCCATCATTTCTTTTTCTTTTTTTATGCTAGAGCTTGAATAGAGAGATATTTGTGTGTGCATGTGCACGCTCGCATGCGTGTGTTTAGAAGAAAGATATTGCACATTTACTTGATACTCAAAATAGACATATGTAGGGTCTGTTCGGTAGGACTGAAAAATACTGTTTCGGCTGATAGTTGTGAGAGGAAAATACTGTTCTGGCAGGACGTGAATAGTGATTTTATGAGGTGGCTGGCCAGCCGGCAATCAGCTGGCCAGCCGGCAATGAGCTAGCCAGCCAGCCGAACAACCTGGTAGATTGTTGAATGCTTCGTTCTGGTAATAAGCACTTAGGGTACGTTTGGTCGCTGCCCTGACAAACATAATTGTCAGATAATACATTCTGGCCAGCAGGTACTCAAAATCAATGGTTTGAATTGCTGCTTGGCCAGGCAAACTTGCCTAGGGCAAACAACCTAGATCGTGGCCTTTCAGGTATTTTGCCTAACCAGACAATTGATCAAGGTCCTACGCGTCTAAAATCGGACGTGGAAGCGCTATGTGACCTAGATGACTTTACCATACCTCCTTACAAACACGTCGAATATTCGAACGTTCATCGTCCTCCCAAGTAGCCCTGGGCGTTCGGTTCTACCAAACCGAACCGATCGGTTCTTCGGTTTTTTAAGAAGATCGGTTCTTCAAAAAATATGGAACCGACCAAGTTCGGTATCGGTTCTTTCGGTTCGGTTCCGGGTAGAACCGAAAAACCGAACAATACCCAAAATCCATGTAACAACATGTTCAATAGCAAATTTTGACAACATTTCAGCATGATTGCACACAAAACCACAGTGACAAATATAACAGTCAAACAGAGTAACAAATACATAAATATAGTGCTAACTTCTAAAGCAAGGCATCAGCATTCAGCAAGAGTGCGAGACAGCTGGGATAGGTCTTATTGCCTAATGGGCCGGTTCCTCGGTTAGTTCGGTTAACCGAGGGGGGAACCGATTTTACCGAACAAATTTCGGTTCCTCAGAAATGAGAACTGAACAGGAACTGAGACTTCGGTTCTCGGTAAATTCGGTTCGGTTCTAGGTTTTTTCGGTTCGGTTCTCGGTAAAATTTACCCAGGGCTATCCCAAGTCCCAACTAGCAAAAGAGCATCGTCTGCAGTGCAGTACAGTGAAGGGAAAAAAAGGATGGCTCACGCTAGACGCCAGAGCAACACACGTACTACCAACACTAGCATGGATTCATGCACGCCGACAACGCCAAAGTTTGTCAACCGAATACAAAATGATCCTAGTACACGGTGCATCTCGAGAAAAAAAAAGCACGGAAAGAAGTTACTTTTATGAATTTCCACTCCCCGGTAGCCGGTAGGTACACAACATGAACAACGTGATGATGCAGAGGCTGATGTGTGGTGATCACTGATCAGAATCAGAAATGATCAAAAGCCAGGCTCTCTGTTACACGGCAACTGGCTCGGTCCCAGGCTCCCGGCGAGCACGAGCCGGACGGAACACGGACGTGAGTCGTGAGTGACAGTTCCTGTGTGATCCAAACGAGATAAGATCGAGAGGCACGCCCACAACCAGGACAGGGCAGCGCAATGGCGCGACGGCGACACGCGACGGAGAGGCACCGGTAGTCCGGTACGTTCCGCTGCGGCGTCGCAGCCACACGCCCGCCCGCGCAGAGCCGCGGAGGGCGGAGGCGACGGGAAAGCGCCGCGAAAGGCAGAAGCAGAACGACGTAGGCACTGGAACGCTTCGCTGCAGTAACATACATCTCGCTTTCCTCTTTGGCCGCGCACTCGCCCTCGCCCCTGGTAGTGCATGTTCCACTTCCGCGGCAGCAAGCAGCCAAGCACGTCCCACGCGGGCTGGAAAGACCCGCGGCCAGCAGCCAGACCCAGACTGCCGTGTCAGCATCGGAGGATCCCCTGGGACGCGACGTGGCCTGAACAACCCCGGCCGCTCTGCTCCTCTGCCGTCGCCGTCGCCGTCGCCCGGGGATTAACAATAGCAGAAATATCATGTCCGCCTCCGGTCCAGTCTGGAAAGAGCGGCGGCCATGGAGCTGGAGCGTAGCGGCCGTGCGCTGTTCGTTCGCACGAATCGCACGCGGCTGTTGGTTGCCTGTTGGCTGTTGCCCTGGTTCCGTGTATTGTATACGTCCAACATGTGCGACCTAGAGTAGAGTACGCTTCATTAATTCCTGTAGGTGTAAGGTATGGCTGCGACCGTGATGAGGTCCTGCTTGCCGAGCTCAAGTTGATTGATACCAGGTCAAGCAATCGCTCAAAAGACGTGCATATATTCCGCAGCAGGAGGTGGACGAGATCGATGGAGCGGGATGCTGCCATTGGGAATTCCCTGGTCCTGGCGATCGCGTTCAGTTCGCACTTGGCGGTTGCTGTTGGACAAGAGTTCTCAACTCCGGCTGCCTCCTGTTCGCTTGCTCGTAAACGATCGTAAATTTCCAGTCGGGAACAGCGTTTTTCTCTCATACCAAACCAGCCAGCAGTGAATAATCCACGATACGATACGGCCTCCGAACAGGCTGAGTTCGCAAAGACTGCAACTGCAATAATAACACTCCAGATTATAGATGGATGGATGCCACATCGGCGATCACGAGATGGACACGATCAGTGGGTTCCAGGAAGGCAGGAATGAACAGCATCTGTATGAGCCGAAGCAGCTGCTAGCAGCTAGTACTCCTACTACTGAGCCACTGAGAGTGGGCCAGGCGACCAGCCGAGCTACAGCAGCTAGTACGGAAAAGGCACCAAGATGTTGCCACTCCTGCCTGGTAGGTAGGGTAGCCTATGTGGTTCAGTGCTTGCTCTTGATGTGAAACCTTAGACCAGGGCCAGAGAATGTGCGCTCACATGGCGAACAAGAGCACACAGATCAACATTAGCAAAAGCATTATGACCGCCGCGAAATAAAGGTCAAAAGTGGTGTCATGGAATGGATTGGCCTGCATTATTTTGGCCCGGAAAGCGAGAGCCGAGCTAGCCCAGTCGGGAGTGGGACAGCATCGTATATATGCAAATATGTGTGGGGGGGAATGATCCGGAGTTTCGATTAATCAGGGACGGGGAGGGATCGATTAACCGCTTGCGTTGTCCCATTCTTATCCCATCAGTACAGGATGCGTTGCTTGCAGCTTTAGACGGACGGTGTTTAATTATACGCTATTCCGGCACTGTTTTTCTACTGTGAGATGCGATGAGATGAGGGTTGGAGGTGGAGGGCATGCATTATTGGATCCATGCGCTGCTAGTAGATAGATAGATGCTGCAATGTGCTGAAAGAGAACGGCTTCAGAGTACGACGTACTACTACATTGTGAACTGAAAATGTGGAGTATCTGTTGCTCCAAAACAGATTGATTCCGGATGCTAAGTACAGATGATAGATCGATGTCAATGTATTGGTCTACCTACAACTACAAGGGTAGGAACCAAACATGTCCCCTTTCATACCTTGGAGAGGCGTACATGATTGTTTAAGGAGATGATGGTTCACCCTCCTTTTTATTTCTAGACTCAGAAACAATAATTGGCAAGATCGTGGTGCCTTTATACTTTATTTAGCCGAACACAGTTATAAGTTGGGTATAAAAATTGAAACATGTATATATATTATAAAAATATTATTTGTAATCGTGATGAATCAAATAATGTAAAAATTATGTTGTCAATATATATACAAATTTTGGGTCATATCTATTTTTAACCATACGGAAGCTTGTTTTTCATCTCAAACTATGAAACTAGGTATAGGACACGCCCTCCAACTATCAAAACATGACGAATTTGATGTATCAAACCAGTAACCACTACAAACCCTTGGACTTGACTGAGCTGCTACGGCTGAATACTAGAAAAACAACAAGAGATACTCCACTCCTCCCGGTTCCATGGCCCAATCAGCCCATTTAATCTTGTTCTGATCTAGGCCATGGGCTTGGTCCATCGCACAAGCAAACATAATACGTGCAATATAGGACCCTAGCCCATCTCTTCTTTTTGAAAGGACCCTGGGCCATCTCCTATCCGGCAACCACAGAAACAGTAGGGTCTGTCTACCCATGGGTTGAGTGATTTTTGACGGCCGTCACACTCGAGTGTTGGACGCCGCATCATCACCCAAATGACAACAAATAAAAAATTGAGTGATTCTTGTCCATGCAACGCCTGATTTCCATGACCCTTGGATCTAGATCAAATAGTATAGATGGGCAACGGGCCGGCACGGCCCAATGGGGGTCGGCCCAACAAGGCACGCCGTGCCCTGCGGGCTGTGCCTCTCAGGCACGCTGGGCCTGGCCTTGGGCCCAGGCATGGCACTATGGGCCGATTTTTTTGCCGTGCCAGCCCGTCAGGCACGGCATAATTGGCGGGCCGTGCCAGCCCATAGTCCGGTTCACATGTAACACCTCAACTAGCTCCTCAACTCAATCACTTTAACATTTTCACGTTCACAGATTCATTCATCATTCACAAATGACCAGATTCACA